TAATATTTCTGGGTTAGCGGAGTCTGTAACCTGAAGCATATCTAACCTGAGGTACCACTGTAATAAAGAAAAATGTGTTCCATTAAGAACTGCAGGTCAGACAGAATTTCAGCAAGTGTGATTATTATTAATAATAAGAAGAAGAAGATTTATTTGTACCCCGCCCTCCCCAGCCGAAGCCAGGCTCAGAGCAGCTAACATTATACAAATGACACAGTATACATAAAAGCAGACATCAATTAATTAAAATACATTTTAAAATTAATTCAGACAAATAAAAATCTGGACAAATGGCAGTTATCAGGTTAAGATTGAGAGTGGTTAATACTTGCCAGGACCAACTGTTTTCACTGATCATATAAGGACCTGTGAACAGGCTGGGAGGCCTCCTTCATGCTTGTTCTTATACAAAGGCAAATAGGTCAGACTGCCCCCTGGCCAAGGCCTGGCGGAACAGCTCCGTCTTGCAGGCCCTGCGGAAAGATGTCAAATCCTGCTACCTCTTCCCCCCATTGTGGTGGTTGGAAGAAGTAGTGAGCTTCCCTCACTGAATGTCTGCATTTGGAGCCCTGTCAGCAAAAAAGAAAAGTGTTGGACCTTGGAGAGTTCAAGAAACCCTTTGCAAATACTTTCCACTGCAATTCCATTTCTCAAGGACAGTTTCCCCCTTGCAGGATCTCACAACGGGTGTCGACATCAGCAAAGGAATATTTTTCGTCCAGTGGTAGCGTGATGTTGACACATGGCTCTTTTCAGGAAGTGTGAAATTGAAGCAAGTGTTTGCTCCCAAAGGAAGTAGCAGGTATCATGGAAAGGCGGACAGCCAAGGGAATAAAATGGCAGATGAAATGTCACCAAGGATTGAATTCCTTCCCCCCAAGTGGTGTTGTATACAGACACACTGCACAGCTGATCAGGCAGAGGAAGAATTAGGTGGTGAGAGAATCTCAAATGATGGCAGAAACTCAGTTTGGAATGTGGGTCAATGTCATCTTCAACAGAACCACTGGGGAAGCGTGTGTGTTTTAATTAGTCATTCCGTTGGCATTTAAAGAAGAGTCTACCCATTCACTCTTTCTGTAACAATATGCAACCCAAAACACAGCCTTCATTTGAATTTCTCTGCTCTCCAAAATCTTCAGTGCAGTTCTCCACTCAGGTGTACCAAAAATGCATATTCTGGGGTAAAGTTGACATTTTTTAAAAAAAAATTATATTGGGGGGGGGAGCACAAATAGTGCATTCTATATAGGTGAATCGTTTTGCAAAAATGAGCATGCTAGACCAAATGGCAAATAGAAATTTGTATATTAGGTAGGATTGCCATATTTCAAAAAGTGGAAGTCCAGACTCAAAAGTTGTTGTTGAGGGATTTTTTTGTTTTTGTTTTTCAAGAGTTGTTGAGATTGTTTTGCAAAAAATTTAAAAAATGAAGTTTTAGAGCTATTTTTAAGGAAATTTGCCAAAATCTACATCTCCAATGTGAGTTGCCATGCACCTGAATGTAACGGGGCCCTTTATATGTCCATTTGTCCTTTGTCAACAACTAATTGCCACTGTTTTTTGTCTTGAATATATGCTATATGGTATTTTATAGACCTAATAGGTCTTTGAAGCCATTTGTACATAACAAAATATGTATTTTATCCAAGTAATTGTTGATCTGAAACCAGTGTTTTAGAGAGCAGGCTAGCAGGTGGGGCCCATTCCTTACATCATAGGAGCCTACACAACACAAACCACAGTTGCTGTGTGTAGGTTTTATTTTATTTGATTTTTATCTTGTATTTTGGAAATGTACATCCAGTTGTTTTTTCTTTAAAAATTTTGGGGGCCCCCAAGAGAGTGGGGCCCTAAGCTATAGCTTGTATAGCTTATACGTAAATCCAGCACTGACTGGAGCCCATGAAGTGCAGGTGGTTAGATGCATTTCTTCCTGTGATTCACACCATAAGAGCATTGATGGATGGGTAGCACCTGAAGCTCTCAATCTGAAAGCCCTCTGCATAAGAAGACAAAGCTCAAGAATCACCACACTGGGATCACTTTGCATACAGATTGCAGCAATCTCTAGCTATGGGTTTGTTGCCTTCCAAAGACTATGCAGCTTTGTTTCCAGTTGGGGCAGGCATAATTATGGGCGGGGGTGGATGCGGCAGAGGGATTGGTGCAATAAAATACAATCCAGTAGCACAAGCTTTGGGCTCTGCGGAATCCAAGACTATTTTGATTAGCAATGAAATTCTCACTTTGTTCTAATGAAAAGAAAAAGCCCTGAGTGTTCTTGGAGGTTGACCAGCGTTCACTGTTTGTGCATTCCAAGAAGCCAGAGCCATCGATCAGAAAAGCATGGCTCTTTTAGCTTCTGCTTGAAGTCTGTCCACTTTTCCTTTTTGATCCCGTGCCTTGCTAGCCAAGAGACGCTGGAGTGTTGATCGCCAGAGATGCAGCATGTGGCTGCCACATGCGAACTCAGACTATCCATTTGCCAAGTCAAGGAACAGCAGCCAAGAATTTTTAGGCGGCTTCGTCTGATGACGCAAAGCATTGTGGGTAAAGGATCTTTCAGTGCCTTCTTCATGCAGCCCCTGCCCCCCCCAAGCAACCAGAAGATTTGGAGCAGCCATTGACAGGATCAGTTTCTTAAATGCGCCTTTGTGCACAATGTAGAGAGCCAGCGTGGTGCAGTGGTTAGAGTGTCGGACTGGGACCTGGGAGTTAAGGGTAAAGGGACCCCTGACCATTAGGTCCAGTCATGGCTGTCTCTGGGGTTGTGGCGTTCATCTCACTTTATTGGCTGAGAGAGCCGGCGTACAGCTTCTGGGTCATGTGGCCAGCATGACTAAGCCGCTTCTGGTGAACCAGAGCAGCGCACGGAAATGCTGTTTACCTTCCTGCCGGAGTGGTACCTATTTATCTACTTGCACTTTGACGTGCTTTCGAACTGCTAGGTTGGCAGGAGCAGGGACCGAGCAATGGGAGCTCACCCCGTTGTGGGGACTCGAACTGCTGACCATGTGATCGGCAAGTCCTAGGCTCTGTGGTTTAACCCACAGCGCCACCCATGTCCCTGGGAGACCAGGGTTCAAATCCCTAGTTGGCCATGAAGCTCGCTGGACAGCCTTGGGCCTCACAGCCTAACCTTCCTCACAAGATTGTTGTGGGGATTAAATGAGGTGAGAGAGAGAGGGCTATGCCCACCACCTTGAGCTCCTTGGACAAAATAGATAAATAAATATTTTTTTACAAATGTGCAGAGAGAGCGGTAACTATGTCACAAGGAACCAGGCCTGTTATGCAATTTATATCCTTGACAGTATTGGCATAACCACAGTACTGCAGGCGCTGGCAATTTCATGATTGGATTATTGTAATGTAGTCTATGTGGGGCTTCCCTTGCGAGATTCAGTCTGGAAACCACAGCTAAGGCAGAATGCTGCAGCAGTGTTGCAGACAGGTGTGAGGTCCTGTTAGCATATAACAGCATATCTATTATTATAACACCCCTGGCTCAAAGAGCTGTACTGGCTGCCAATTTGTTACAGTACTATGCCAAATTCAAGGTGTCACTATTAGCATATAAAGCCCTTAACAGCTTGGGACCAGTTACTTAACCAATGTGTTAGTTATTCTAAAACGTGTACAGTTGTATTGTGTGTTAAGATGCAGTTAGACCAGGGACCAATAGAGCTGATGAAGGGCAGGATATAAAGTTTAGTAACTTGACAACAACAAGTAACTTGACAACAACAACTTGAGATCCTATGAACTTCTGGCATCAACTTGTTTTTAGCATCTAATCTCATCAGGGTTTAAGATGTATATTTTATATCCTATGCAAGGCTCTTGGAGGCTTTTAAGGGTTAGCAGGGTACCGATCCTGTTAAATAAAATAAAATAAATTACTAAATAAATAATAACAACAACAAATTGTGGAGGAAATCTGCTCCTCCTCATGTCACCCCCATTATCACCCCATGTTGGCACTTCTGCTGAAAAAGTTACAGCAGCGGTAAAGATATGCTTGTGAAGTGCTACACTGTTACCAAGCAGGGAGACATCATTTTGGGATAAGCTGGTGTTGGGGGGGAGGTCTTCTTCCAAATTTTAAAACTCCCCACCTAGCATATCTAGAGTGCAGGATTTCACCCTCTGCTGCAATGCCTCAGGGTCAGAGTTTGATGAGGGGCTGCAGGAAGTGAGTGAGGTACATTTATGTGGGTTTCATTCAGAACGCCTCTTGGCAACACCCAGCTGTTCTGATCTGGCACATAAATAAGAGAGTCAGAATGAAATACCATCTTTCTTTCTTTCTTTCTTTCTTTCTTTCTTTCTTTCATTCATTTCTTTTTAAAGTGAAGTTTGAGTTGGAAGGATTGTATCCTAGAACCTCACTGGACCTGGAGTAAGTTTGAGTTCAGCCATTACAACTCCCACCTCTGAGTACACGCAAGGGCTCAGAAATATGATATATTTGCTGAAATGCAATATATTTCTTTGCAACAAGACAAGCTATTTTTGAGACCATTAACAAGCCTAATTTACTCACCAGAGTGCCCTTTCAGGAAACAGTAGGAGTTAAATAAACTCCTATCTATCACTGCAAAGCAGGAATAATTCTCAGTGTTTTTACATGAAAAGACATATTTTCTTTTCTCACAGATTTGTCATTACCAACCAAATCAATGTCCCTGAATTTAATGAGATTTGGCTTTCACCTTCCAGAAAGCTTGGAATGTTCTACTGACTCAATATGTTTTCAAAAGATAGGTAGGATTAACTGCTGGACACCATACCCAGTGGGAATGTGTAATCCATATCATCTTTGACAAGGAACATGTTCTTAAATCCTGCAATTAAGCAGTTAGGATTAAACGCAATATTTATACCTAAATAAACATAGTAAATTGATTGATTGATTGATTGATTGTATTTCTATGCAGCTTCTCATTCAGTCAGATCCCAAAGCTGCTAATAAAAAATAACAATAACACAAATTTTCCTGGATAGCTCAGTGAGTTAGAGTATGGTGCGGATGATGCCAAGGTTGCAGGTTCAATCCCCGTTCGGGACAGCTGCATATTCCTGCATTGCAGGAATTTAGAGTACATGATCACCAGGATCCCTTCCAACTCTCCAATTCTATGATTCTATAACAGTAACATATGGTTCCAATATTAATTTTTCTTAAGAGCCACGTAGCAAGTGACTGAGACCAACAGAGGATGCCATCTCTCAATGGAACAAGGCAGCTGTCTGCATGGGGCAACTTTTCCAGCCTGAGGGCCATATTCCTTTCTGAGCAGACTTCCAGGGTCCACATAGCAGTGGAAACGACTCAGGATTGCTTGCCTCTTCTGCCCTTTGGCGAGTGACTGTGGCGTTGGGGTGGTGATAAGATCGCACTGGCCTATCTATTCTGAATGTATTCTGAATGTTCTTATGTGATGCCAATAAAAGTTACCATATTTTTCGCTCTATAAGACGCACCAGACCACAAGACGCACCTAATTTTTGGAGGAGGAAAACAAGAAAAAAAATATTCTGAATCTCAGAAGCCAGAACAGCAAGAGGGATCGCTGCACAGTGAAAGCAGCAATCCCTCTTGTTGTTCTGGCTTCTGGGATAGCTGCACAGCCTGCATTCACTCCATAAGACGCACACACATTTCCCCTTACTTTTTAGGAGGGAAAAAGTGAGTCTTATAGAGCAAAAAATACGGTACTTGACTTGACATGGCAGTGGTGGGTGGGGCCAGAGGCAAAAGTGGGCATGGCAACCAATGCAGGTTTTGCCTTTGTACAGTAGGCTAATTTCTACACACATTCCTTCCTCCATTCAGAGAAACAACAGGCTCAGAATTCAAGGTCACACCCACCCCATCCCTTTAAAGCACTCTTATACCTAACAGTCATGGTTTCCCCCCAAAACGCCCTAGGAAATGTACTTTTCAAAAGGGCGCTGAGTATTCGCAACCTCTTAGCAAACTACAGTTCCCAGGATTCTTTGGGGGAAGCCATAGCTGTTCAAGTGGCACAAGAGTGCTTTAAATGGACGGTGTGGATGTGGCCCAAGACACATTCCAGCCAAGCGAAAACACTCAAAGAGGGTGCAAATCTGAGCCAGTAGGGTGTGTGGCCTGGGGAGAGTGCCAAGGGCCTGATAGCGAGCTATATTTGGCCCCTGGTGCCACTTCTGCCATCAAGATTCTCCCTGCTGTTCAACCCAATGCTCCGTTGCAACCACAGTCTATAGTTGCATGAATGAAGAGGTCGCAAGAGATAACCTGTGCAACCAAGACCAAAGAGGCATTGGATTAAGTTAAGGGCCTGTGACGCCCTTCCTTTTACAGCCTCTTTAACTTCCTGGCAAATTGATTTTATTTCCGAATTTGTGATGGGAAGCTAAGAAACTTTACTGGCTTTATGGCTGTCTCCTATTGAAGCTATTACAATTCAGAAAGTTAATATGGATAGACAATGGACAACTTACAGGGAACTGCTGTCCTGCTTGTGGTCTTCCCATAGGCATCTGGTTGGCAATGGAAGGTTAGCAGAAGATTCAGCTGCACATGGAATGGTCAGGGCGCCATCTTTTCCTTTTCCTTGGGTAGCAAAATGTCCTGGTTTGGGTCTGGTGCCCTGAGTTGGCTTCTGATTTCCTCCTCCCTGCCCCGTCTACCAGAGAGAGAAATAGAGAGAAAGAGAGTGAGAGAGAGCCAGCCTAAACCACAACAGTGAGCCATAAATTATTCCGTGACTGCCACTTCCTCTCCCTTGCATGCCCATTCATGGTTTGCAGAGGTCATAGCAGATACACTTATTCAATAATGCAGCCTCAACAGCGCTGACTTAATAAAACTCTCGTGTCGTTCCCTGTGTTGGAATTGATTTTCCTGACTTGAGGGCCACTTTAGTTTGCAAATCAAAACTGCCTTGTGCCGGCCGGCCTGACAAATTCTACTCTAGCCCAGATTTCTTTCAGAAATGGAGATTGATGGGAGGAGGTTGGTGTTGGGTCAGTGTCTAATGGCGTGTGCTTGGGGGCTTGAATTATTCATGAGAACTGGAGCCTCTCATGTTTTTTTATTAACGCGAACCACAGAAAGGAGTGTCGTAGCGCTGATACACAGCAACTCTTGCAGAGAGGTTTTGCCTGGGCGATGACGTCTCTCACCTCTTGAAGCACCTTTACCCAGTCACCTGCAGATTGTAAGCCGCTTTGCTGCTTCTTGCATCCAAGACTGTGTTCACATGGCAGTTTATTCCATTTCTTCAACAATTCCCTAACTGTTAATTTCTGCATTATATTTCAAACGGCTTTCAAATGGCTACAAAGCCACTTCTGGAAAACGAGTGAAATATAGTGCATGTTTAATGTTCATTTCTGTCTTGTTTGGTCACAGAAAAATCCATTTGCAGCACCCTTAACCTGGGAAATTGCAAAAGTGGCAAAATTGGTGGCAGTATACTGGCATGCAGGTTTTTTCCCTGCCATTTTCATGGAGATATCACGGGGGAACAGAAGCCTGCATGTGCCAAAAAGATGGGGAAATAGTGATGTTGTGTCACACTGGTGCGACTGAAATTTAGCATAACATGCCTATATATTGGTCAAATAGCCACAGTCTCATAATTCTTTTTTAAAAATAATTTTTTATTGATTTTTGCACAAGCTGTCCAACATACCAACTCCAAAACCATATAACAAATCTTTGGCTATCACAGCCTAAGACTTCCTTCAACCCCTTCTAATGGTTTTCTAAATTTCTTTCTAATTTTGCATTTCATTACTATGCTTATTGCTATAAATCCAATCTTAGATCGGCTAATCTTAATCCCTTTCACAATCATTTATAAAATCCTCCTTACAAAACTTCTTGTAACCCTACAAGCGATATTAAGTAATTACAATTGTCTTTCAGATACAATGTAAATTTCTTCCAGTCCTTTAGGAAAATCTGGTCCTGCTGGTTTCGAATTTTCCCTGTTAGTCTCGCCAGCTCAGCATAGTGCATCAATTTCATTTGCCACTCTTCTTTTGGTGGCATTTCCTCATTTTCATCGCACAGTCTCATAATTCAACTGGGACTGCAGTGTGGAAGCAGGATAGAAGTATCAGGAAAGCTAATGCAATACAGGCAACTTCTGTTTCACGCATGTTCAAAGAACATGCGATTTTGCAAGCATGAGCCATTTTGGGACCTGGGAGATGGCATGACAGAGGTGAGACAGGATGCGAGGGGGCAGGGTGGAGTGGGAGAGGAATGGTGCATAACAGGACAGGTTGAACTTCTGATGCACATGGTGACCCGGAATGCAACCACCGCTCATCAAAGGTTGCCTGTATTCCCATACCTGAACAGGGGGTGCTGTTTGTCATGATGGAGCTTAGATGGAACTGGAAAACGGAGAGTTTACAGGAAGTCTGGGGGAGAAAATGGATTCAGCTGGCACTTAAAGGTGAACCTACCTAATTCACACATTCTGAAACAATATGTGAATCCAAACACAGCCATCCTTTGAAATTCACACTTCTCCAAATTTTGCAGTGCAATTTTCTGTCCAAATGAAGTGTATAAAAATGCACATACTAGCAAAAAAAAGTATATGCATGCAAATGGATATGTTAGTGAAAATGGTGTTAAAAAAGGTGTTATCTAAAAGAGAATTGCTTCGCAAAAATGTGTAGTAATTATTATTATTAATAATAATGATAATACCCCGCCCATCTGGCTGAGTTTCCCCAGCCACTCTGGGTGGCTTCCAGCAGAATATTAAAATACAATAATTCGTCAAATATTAAAAGCTTCCCTAAACCGGGCTGCCTTCAAATGTCTTCTAAAGGTCTGGTAATTGTTTATTTCTTTGACATCTCATGGGAGGGTGTTCCACAGGGCGGGCGCCACTACTGAGAAGGCCCTCTACCTGGTTCCCTGCAACTCTGCTTCTTGCAGGCAAAGTTTTGTACAATGATGTGTATATGGCAATAAATCTGCACTAAAATGCTCCCAAATTTGCTTGTTATTTTAGAGAAAGGCAGAGAACTGAACTTAAGATCAGAAAAGTGAGAAACTGAGAAACTGAAATGGACCAATTTGCCCACTCCTGTTTTACCGCAAAACCATCTCTCCTTTGAAATTCAACCCAATCAGCTCCTTCATGGATGATTCCTTCCTCTCTGTCTACTCCTAGTGCAAAGGTGGGGAACCTTTTCATCTTGGCAGGACAGATTTTCAGGCCTCCCAGCGGGCCACTTTGATGGGTGGGCAGGGCTGCCCACCTCTCTTATCACAACAAAGCATCAAGTCACCCCTTTTTCCTTTGCAGCATGGCTTGAGCTCAAGGTCCCAGGTTCAGTTCCCAGTCAGTGCAAACAAGAATGATCTAGATCAGTGGCTCCCAACTGATGGTCTGTGGACCCCAGGGGTGCACATAACCCACTCAGAATATCCGCAACACCATTCACGTAACAAAAACTACCATAGAGATATCAAAATGTTCAAAAGTAGGAGGTCCATGGCTTGGTTTTTGAAAAACAGGGAGTCTGTGGTACTTAGCTAATTGGGAACTGAAATATACTGGGAGTCGAGAGTGGATTTCATGCTCTTTATTCAGCTCATAATGGTGAGGAGGAATGGAAGTTCCCCCAGAATGTCTGCTTTATATACATTATTTACACAATGGGCCCCACCTGATTGGCTAATTCCGGGATTCACCTGTAGGCCAATCAGGTTGCGGATTCACTTCCACCTGGAGCTGGATTGGGTGGCTCCTGTGGAGCAATCAGACTGCTGCATTCTGAATCCTATTGTTCTAGGACCAATCAGACTGCTGCCTTTTGGATCCTATTCAACTCAGTACATAACAGGAACCAACGAACTAGATCATTTGCATTTACCTCCCAGAGCTACAATTCCCAGAGAAGAGGGATTGATTGTAAAACCACTCCGGGAATTGTAGCTTTGTGAAGGGAATAGGGGTCTTCTAACCACTCTCAGCATCCTTAACAAACTGCAGCTCTTGGGATTCTTTGGGGAAAGCCATGACCGAAGGGGTATCATAGTGTGTTGA